CGTGACTCTATTTTGACAGCCCTAGCTCACTTTATAAATAATAATAATAACAATAATTTGCTTGTTAGGTGTTGAGTGGGCCCCATATGCACGGAATAGGTGAATAATTTTTTTTTTTGGGACATTTAGGCCATTTTAAGGCAAACTCACACACACAACGCATACACATAGACTCGAACCCTGAACTTCTTAGTTGAAAGTCTAAGCTCTCAACCAATAGGCCAAGTTCCTTTTGGCCTCATTGCGATTTCTGAAATCTCTGTTGCGAAGACTATGACATATTCGAAGGGGGAACGCAGAAAGCTATTGAAATAATTGGTGACAGCTTAACAAGTACGATTATAAAATTTTGGCCTTAAATATTGCATCCATAAAAAATATTTTTTTATTATTTCGCTGGCCAAGCTAAGATTTTTTGGAAGGTCTCCTTCATTAGCATATTTGGCCCGACCTACTTTTGAAAACGTGTCAATTTTTCAATGGTAGTCTAAATGAAGCACTTGTGGCAGAGTGTTCCTTCTTGTTGCATATTTGGCATATATATGGGTGCTGGTTGAGTTGTAGACCGAGTATTCTGAGTTATGAATCGGCCTCTGCCACTTCTTCCTCTGCCTCTGGTGGAGTATAATGTTGTATTTTGGTTTGGAAGGTTATGTTGTCTAGCTGCTCAGAATTGAGATTGATTTCTTCACTTATTAAGAACACATATAAGTCGTCAAGACTAATTGGTTGCACCATGGTACGAATTGTGGATTTTAATGACTGATATGCTGGGGGTAATCCATTCAATGTGTGTAGGATTATATATTCTTTGTCAATGTTGGCACATGCAACTGCGATCTTGTCAACGAGAATTTTGATTTCATTTAGATATTCGGCCATGAATTTTTATCTCATTGAAACATTGTGTAATTCATTTTTTGAGTTGTATAACTCTGGATTTGTTGGAGGCTTGTAACCTTCTTTCAATGGTAGTCCAAATGGCGGCATATGAGTCTAAATGAAGTACATTGGGTAAGATTGCTGAGGTTATTGTGGAACAAATGGCTGCTGCTAGGTTTTGATCAATCATAACCCATTCTGTGTATTTGGGATTGATGGTGATTAATCCATATGAAGCTTGTTGCAGACGGGGTGGTGGAGAGATATTGGGGTCTATGAAACTGGTGAAGCCATTTGCTCTCAGTAATTTGGTTACTTGGGATTTCCATGTTGGATAATTATCATTCGATAATTGGGTGGGTACAATTGTTTTGATGTTTGAAATGACAAATTTCAATGATGCAGGTATAGTGTAGGATTCTGTGAGTGGGTATGTTAGTGGATTTTCTATTTGGGAAGAAGATGATTGGGCCATGAGAGGATTTCAGATAACTTACCTCTCGGCTTGATCTGCTCCAAGAACTTAGCTCTCTCGGTTCTATCTGCTCCAAAAACCGATCTTTGATACCATGAAGAAAAGACAAAGTTGGAATAGGAAGGTGACATAGGATAATTATGAGAAATAGGACTGCAGTAAAGTCTCATTACACTTGTCTTACATTCCTACTTATCTTCTGATATTTATAGTATTATGATGTATACATGTATCACTGTGATTCATTGTGTTTGTTACAGGTGAATGGTTCGGATTTAATGTGCGTGTGAGCTGCGGCGGAACTCGTCTTCGTGTGATTTAAATGTGGTCTGTTGTGTTGCGGCGGATCTCGTCTGTTCTTTTTATTTTCTTTTTTCAATTATTCCCACAGTTTGATTTTTTATTTTTTATTTTTTCTCTTATGAACTGTTTCTATGTTGAAATTTGAGTGAAAGATTATGAAAATAGGGTACAGCTTTCTTACCGCTATATTTTTTAAACTGTCATAATAATGTTTGTTTTTCCATCATCTTTTAATCAATTTCAATAATATTTTGCTGTGATGCTGCTTTCTACATCCACTTAAAAAAAAAAAAAACTGTTTTTTCCAATATATCTTCAATCATCTAAAAAAAATTACAGATGTCCAAAATTTTGGAATAGTTTTTTTTATTGCTTTCTAAAATAATTTTTTAGTTTAAAATATTTTTGAAAGCAAAAAAAAGTATTAAAATGTTATCCCAAATGAAACCTAAGATTATTTGAGATTTTTTTTGCTTTGTTTTTAAGGTTATAATCATAATTAATAATTGACTATTTTTTATTATTTTAAAGAAATTTTTGTGCTAGGAAGCTGCTTTCACAATAGCTTTCAAAAAAATTATTTTTCGATAACAAATTTATATTCATCTTTAAAAATTATTACAGCCATCCCAAACTGTTGCGACCTGAATATTCGCGGCCGTAGAGAGTGATATAGTTTAGAGTCTTAGCTTTGTACGAAGATCCATTGCACAAACAAATATGAGAGTATAATTATAAGTAGGGTGTAGCGTTCATAAGAAACAATAGAGTTTTTTACGTGGAAACCCCTGAAAAGGGGGAAAACCCATTGGGTCTGACTCAGTTTGAATGAATTCATTATTGTTTGCAGTCGATTACAAATGAGACCCTTTCATGGGGGTAAGGTCTTGGCATGATGTGACAAATATACATCATATAGAGTGTATTACATGGTGGGAATTAAAATAATCAGTGTTGATATGTTCATTTGTGCAGCAGGACCATAGTTGGCGGGCGATATAAGTCGGAAGGATCGTAGTCAAATGACAGTGGTTAGAAGGACCGTAGTCGAGCGATGGAGGTCGGAAGGACCGTAGTTAGGCGATAGAGGTCGGAAGGACCGTAGTAATGTGACAGTGGTCGGAAGGACCGTAGTCGGCATGCGATGGGGGTCAGAAGGACAGTAGTTGGAGATGGAGGTCAGAAGGACCGTAGTTGGCGATGGTGGTTGGAGTGACCGTATTCGGCAGGCGATGGAGCCTGGGAGGATTGTAGTCAACATCGGTGGTCGAAAGGATCATAGCCGGCATGTGACAAAGGTCTGGAGGATTGTAGTCGATGGGTGACGGTGCATGGTCAGAAGGATCATTATTGGGCAACGGTGGTCGGAAGGACCGTAGTTGGGAGACGGTGGTCGGTCGGTCGACAGGATCGTAGTTATATGACAATGGTTGGAAGGGTCGTAGTCGAGCGACGGAGGTCAAAAGACCATAGTCAGGCAACGACGGTCGGAAGGAGTGTAGTAGGTCGGAGACAGTGGTCAGAAGGACTGCAGTTGACGATGGTGGTTGGAAGGACCATATTCGACAGATGATAGAGGTCGGGAGGATTGTAGTCGGCGACGGTCTTTAGAAGGACCGTAGTTAGTGGTCGACGATGGTCAGGAAAGACTATAGTTGGCGGGAGACAAAAGGTCAAAAGGACCGTAGTCGACGGACGATTGAGGTCAAAAGGACCGTAGTCGACGGGCGACTGAGGTCAAAAAGACCGTAGTTGGCTGACGACGGAGATCTAGAGGATCATAGTTGGTGGACGCGCGGTGGTCTGGAATAACTCTTGTGGTGGTCGGCGGACGGACGGAAGTCCGATAGTAGTTGGGAAGAATTCCAGTTGTAGTCGGTGGACGAGCAGAAGTCTGGCAATGGTTGGCTAAGTGAGTGGAAGTCTAATGGTGATTGTATAGTGCTAAAGAAAATAGTGACACTTGGAGACGAGAGGCGGTGGCAGCTGGTGACAAATATGCTTCAAAATATTTTTGAGTCAAAACATCCTTAATGCATGAGGGATAACTTCTTATATTCACATATTGCTCATCGAAGCTATAGGTGGTTTAAATTGGGTTGAATTAAAATTGATTCAAATATGCTCGAACCTAATTCAAAAGAATCATTTAATTGACTATTCAGATCCTTCCTGCTCCCACTTCGTCTGAGGTCAATATTCAAACCTCTCTCTCTCTAGTAAATCGATAATAAAATAAAATATATATAATAAATTGGGTTTTAATTTTGCTAGTAAAGATTCAAACCTCTCTCTCATTGTAGCTCTCATGATGTTTTAGATTATAATTTTTTTTAAATAGTTATATAAAAGATAAATTTATCCAATTTCAAGAATAAAAGACCAAATTACCAATGTTTAAAACGTAACAATATTCTATTAGTAGAATAGTAATAGATGTCAAATATGGATGCAAATTGACTCCCCGGTCCAAATACCAAATACTACGTAAGCAGCTATATATGTAGCTCATCATAGCTTTTTGGTTAAGAGTTTGGGCTACTAATTAAGAGGCTTTTGATTCGAAGCTTACGTATGCGATGTGTATGTGAGTGAGTTTTGTCGATCTTAATTGCCTCAAATTGTAATAACTCAAATTTTTAACTATCAAAATATTATTTGCTTTGATCTAATAGCCTCATGATTTTGTCATGTTGGGGTACCTTCTCAGGAGGTAACCCATCTCAAGATTTCTACGAGATGAGCATGCTTAACTGCAAAGTTTCTTAAATAAAATTTCAACCATTAAACCAAAAGGCATCTCGGTTCATGTTTAAGAGTTTAACTTTTTTTACTTAAGAAGTTTCACAATCTTCCATACTAAGTAACATATGTCCTCGTCATTATCATTATCCTAGAATCATCCAATAGATAGATATAGGATTTTAGAAGTGACCCCAACAAGTTTAAGTGGTGACTCCCGCCATGTAGAACTTTGTCCTATACAAGATTCAAGAGGTGGCTCCCATGAAGTAGCACTTTGTCTTGTTTGACACTTAGTTCTCATCTTTCAGCTGGTGTATTGCTTTAATATCAATTGTAACATCCCAAACTCTTAATTATCAAGATATTATCCGTTTTGACCTAAGGGTCATGATTTTGTCTTGTTGGTGTAACTTCACAAAAGATCATCCATCTCAAAATTTTTTAAAGATGAGCACATTTAACTGTGAAAATTTTTAAATAAAATTCCAACCATTACACTAAAAAACGCTTTGATATTTAAATGTTTAGTTCTTTTTCACTTGAAGAGAAAAAAAAAGCCTACTGATCGTAAGAAAATATTGCTACATAAATCCCCCACCAAAGGCCTAAATATGATCTGACAGGAGGACACGAAGTCCATTCTATCTCCTTTTCTTCTCCCATCTGATATCAGCCTTTCTCTTCTCTAAGAAGATAATCAATGGAGGATTCACTCTTTTCATAGACTCATAGGTGAGCTAGCTATCCCTACACAGCAATCAATCCACCACTTCCTTCTATAACTCTATCTTCTTCTTCTTCTTCTTCTTCTTCTTTTTCATGAGCAGGCAATGTCATATCTGTTCTGGTCTTCAGCTCTCCCATGTAAGAGTACTATCTACCGCCATTTTTGCACCTCAAATTCTTTGAAACCTCTATTTCTATTGAGCATACATGTCAAAACGCATTAATCAGCCCGACGTTTTGGAGGATTGTTAAGAACGGCTCAACAGAGGAATTCGATCCACTTCCTTACGTCACGGCTTTCCTTAGCGCTTCACTTTGGGCTTACTACGGCATCCTCAAGCCAAACGGCCTCCTCGTCACCACCGTCAATGGCGTCGGCGTCGTGCTTGAGGCCCTCTACATCTCTCTCTACACTTATTTTGCTCCTCCTCCTCTCAAGGTATGTATATAGCCAAATTTTTTTCTCAAGCATAAATTAATTATTTCAAAAATATAATTAATATATATTTTTAAGATATATCTTATTGTTAAACTCTAAATTCTTAAAATTTGAAGGAGAAATTATATTTTATACAAATGAAATGTTTTAAAATTTAGAAGACATGATACATACACATAATATAAATCTGTCCTTGTATATGATTCCTTGTATGAATCATTAAAAGATCAAAATTAACACAATTGAAATTTTTTTTTGAAGATTGTAAGATGAATAGATTAATTGAAGGAAAAGCAACATCGATGAGATTCTATTTTTAAGGAAAAAAATTTATCAAGATTTTTAGTTCTCATTAAATAAGGGTTTGAATAGCTTTCATATGCTTCATAAATAATTTTTTAGTATAAAATTTTCATTTCAAATTTTTTGACTTAAAAGTTGTTAAAAAGCAACAAAATATCTAAACAAAACTAAGACTTATTTAGACGCTTCTTTTCTGCTTTCATAAATGACTTTTAATATAAAATTAATTTTTTATTAGAAAGCTGTCTTTAAGAAGATGATAGCTGTATAGTTCGTTTGAGATGACTTTCTTATATTTTGAAATCTAATTTTTTAATAAAAATATCCTAAAAACAAAAAAAAAAAGTCTAATCAAATAAAACCTTTTTTTTTTTAAACATGTTATATATAATATATATATAAAATATATTAGATAATAATTTAACTAAATCATTTGACAATTATTATTAAATCTTTAGGCATTCATAATATATATTTTTAATTAATATAAACATGATTTAATAATTTAATTCTATTGAATGATAATACATAAGTGAAAATTGTGCATCATTTATGAAGCATGGAGCCCACAAAACTTTGTCAACAATTAAAGCTTCATAATATCAACATGACAGCTAATGCCTCTAAATAAGAGAAGAGAGAGAGAGAGAGAGAGACTGTTCATTCATCTAAGCTTCAAATGAATGGCAGGTAAAGGCGTGTATTTTGGTGGCTGTATTAGACATTGGCTGTATGGGTGGTGATTGGTCTCACACGCTTGGCTGTGAAGGGGGATATGAGGCTTGTGTGATTGGAGTCATATGTTCCGTTCTCAGTATGCTCATGTATGGCTCTCCATTGCTGTTATGGTAAATTAACCTCCTTTCTTTCTTTTAATTTTCTTCTGTTTATATAACTTTAATAATTAACTTGTTAATATATTTTAGTTTAGAAATGTTATAGCTTAATTATGATTAACCATTTATTTATAGTTTGCAGCTAAAATATTTGTTTAATGAATATAAATCACAATTTTTTTTGGACGGATATTACCCGCTGCCACCTGAAAGGCATTTGCGGACTGATTTTTCTAAACCTAAAATAGGCACCCACCCTAGAAAACTCCCTGCCGTACTTGATGCGTCCCAACTGAAGAGCGCTCCACTCAAGGGAAATTAGGCAGGGTTGGCGTTCCCAACCGTACTTGAACCCACACCAAACTAAGCATTCGGTTATAAATCACAAATTCAATAATATAAGTGCACAAATAGAGAACATAATTATAAATAAGCCATTAAAATAGTAAACCGCGAGGTTATTTAAAAAATAAAAAAATTGGGATGGTATTCTTCTCTC